GCAAATATGTACACTACACAAAGAGACATAATTCTGCTTATCGGTTCTTGATTTCAATGAACGGTTTTGCTATATGGTTACTAAAAATAAATTTTCACAATATAAACGTTTAATCATATTTTATGTGTGAAGGTGTCAAAGGGAATGTAAAACATAACAAATATTGTTTAGTGAGAAAGCAACTTCTCTTATGACAAAGAAGGGACGGAAGACCTTCTTGTTGCCATGGCAACAAGGTTCTAGTTATTATTATTATTATTATTCATTTTTATTTTTCTGACCTTTTCAAATCGCGATATCTCAAAAACTACTCAATCATTTTCAGCCAAATTTTCAGGAATGATGTGTTATCTCATGCCATTTTGAAATATTGAAAAAGTTTGGAAAAAATTACTTCCGGTCAGGAATTATTACGATTTTTCACTTTTTCCACTAAAAATCTAGTCCGTGAATGTTCTCAGAAACTGTTAAAGGTAGGAGTCTGAAACTTTCAGGTATGATAGAATTTGGTTTGTAGATGTGTGATGGAAACATTTCGTGTGTCGTCGTAACTTCCGGTCGTCACAGGAAGTGATTTAAAAAGGGTAATTTTTTGAACTTTTTTGTTTTTCAATATTTTTTTATGATGTTGATAGGCTTAATAAAGAGTTTTACAAGAATGCTAAATATGTAGTTTGTTTAAAAATTGATTAACCCATACTCTGAATATTTATCATTTTTCAATTTTAAGAGACGGTGTTTGATAGTGTAATGGTTAGCATGTTGAATTTTCTAGTGGGCGATCTGGATTCAATCCAAAGAATTTCCGAATTTTTTCTCACTTTTTGGGGCTCAAATATAAGATTTTATCTTAAGGGGGGGGGGGGGGTCTATGTCTTTAGACGTCAGAGCAGCGGTGTTTGACGGCACAATATCAGCGTGTCTTTTTACTCCCTCATAAAGAGTTTGCAGTTTAATTTTGCACTAATTAATGTGCATAGATATGCAATTGTGATATGACAAAATGAGGAAAACATGTTGGTGCAAATGTATATGTAGCTGGATACCTATGCAATTGTATCATAAATTGGAGAGTTGCGGAATTGTATTTTGAAAGTAGAATTTGTTACTTTCTCATGTTGATTGAATAACATATATAGCAATTTCAAATGAGAGAAAAATAAACTTCAATGATATTTTTCTTTGATTTTAGTAGGGCAATATTCCTTTATAGATGCAAGTTACAGAACATAATAGGTATCAGATTCCTTGAGCGTCATATGGCGAGACGTGTTTTGTTGCGAAACATTCCAGTCTTTTCATTAATGTGTTACTAATTGGAATAATCCACTTTGGGGGTAAAGAGGAATATAAAATGTGTAAGAAAACTTAGTGCTGCCTTTATGTTACTTGCCCGTATACGATATGTAATATGTACAGTGTGATAAATATACATTCTTAGACTCGAAAATCAGGCTACAGCAACATATTTTTAAAATTTTCATTGAAGCTATCACGTACTCTTATTCAATTGAAGACACATTCCAAAGAAAAGGCGCGATGATTTACTCGTGACGTTTGGCGCGAAATAATGTATCTTGACCCGCCTTTCACAAATGGTCTGATGCAGCAGTGTAGAAGTACAGAAAAAGATTACACGGACATGTCTGAATTTGGAATTGCATAGAATAGAATGTTGAATGCATAAAGAATAAAGGAAGTAAACACAATAGTTTTTTTTTTAGTTTTTATCAGTAACAGATTATTTTCTCTGCTATCAGTTATTGTTAAAACTCAAGTAACAAATCCGATGTAAATCTACTAGTACTTGCACAAAATTTAGCTGGCAAGTTTTCATCCTATAATTCCACACTATAAGAAATAAAGATTAACATGCCTGACACTCGTTACTTCAGGAAATGAGTGCAAGGTAAACATCAATGATGGCTGGTACATTGCGCTAGTGTAGTGGTATCAATATTAAAGAACAAGGTCCACTTAGGGCCTTTTTTGGCCCTGTGAATTTCAGAAAAACTGAAACTTCTTTGACAATGCATTAAATATCATTTAGACCTTTGATGACTGCGTATCTTTCAAAATGACGTAATTTTCTGGCTAGCCAATGCATTATGACGTCATGAAATGCGACATTTTCCTCATATCGTGAAAAATTCTACAAAACAAACCAATTTTTAAAGCTAATTTTTCGATATTTAATATAGAGCGTAACCTCTGATCTTAAATATGCAACTATAAAATGATAGAACTTTTTCTGAGGATTACAAAACCTGTTTTATTATTTAGATCAGAGGATGCAATCATATTATTTCTCTTCTTTCTTTTTTAAGCTAAAACTTGCATCACTTGATTGCATCTCTTTCGCTGTTTTGAAATATGTTAGATTCCACCGGAAATAAAACGTCAACTTCCGGTCTATTGCTCGGCAACAGTAAACGATTGAAGTCTGAAACTTTCAGGACTGATAGTCAGTGATCAGTTTATTTGAATCGTGACAAAATCTTGTATCGCCGTTACTTCCGGTCGTGACAGAAAGTAATGCAAATAAGGGAATGGTTAATGGTTAGCACGTTGGATTTTCAGGCTGACGACGAGGGTTAAATCTCCAGAGTGTCTGAATTTCTTTTATCACTTTTTCAGTTTGAGTTTTCTTTTTTTCAGAATCGGACGGAAGACCTCTCATTGCTCGCAATGAGTTTCTAGTTATTATTATTATTATTATTTGATATTGCTGGATTAATAAGTAAGTATTCATTGAACATGTATAAAAGTTTAAAAAATGCATTTCAATAAAAAAAATGTTTAAATTGAAAATTGTAATATATCTCGTTTAATTTATAAAAAAAAAAATTACCTGTAGTTTGAAAGTAAAATCCAAGAAATTCCCCTAAAGGATATAAATATAATAATGTATACAGATTTAGTGCAAGCCCTCATGTCAAGACACCTGACAAGTCTTAAAAGCGATGTTAATTAGCCTTAAAAAGACCATTACCATTATCATTCATTTTCATTTCATTGTGACAGTTGAAGACGGTTAAGGTTTTTAAATGCATCTTTTATGGTTTTTAACATATGTTTTTAAATATTTTTTTGATTTAGATTTGAAAGTCTTCCTTATTCATGGTCGTAAAAAGTAGTGGGGAGGGGGCAAGGAAGGGGCAAGCCCTCTCTATATATTTTTACCTCCTGTTTAATAATGTATACAAAGGCATGTTCCTTGAATACTTTCTAACAAATGATCTCCTTCAGAGCATGTACATTGTTTAAAAAAATGTATGTTTCGAAACTTATAAATGAATTTTTCCAAGCAGGACTATAGTGCCCATAAAAATCATTTTATATTGAAGGGAATATCAACAGTGATTGCAATGCAAGCAATGAACATCATGTCTAAATAAATTGTAAAAGTGTAATTTTTTTTGGTATAATAAAAATGTGTTCAAAAATGCATAATACAGTGGTAAAGAGAAACATCTCATTACCTTTTCTACATATATGTAATAAAATTTTTATTCTCAAACTATGATAAAGAAATACCTATATACTTACAGGAAGTTAGAATAAATGAACTAAAATAAAATTCCGAAAGAAAAAACACATTGACTTGACATTGTTTGAAGTGAAAATATCTATTGAAATTGTTTTGTGAAAAAAAAATATATCAAATAGAAGTTAAAAGATTACATAGGTCTTTCAATTCTGAATTTTATCAAATAGAAGTTAAAAGATTTCATAGGTCTTTCAATGCTGAATTTTCTCGAGTTGTTGTAGATACAGAAAATTTCTGTATGGTATCTTTTTTAAAGTAAAACTTTCATTACATATTGTATCTCTCATTGGTTCTTTTAAAAAAAATTGATTATTACTATTTGAGGATATAATCAACCATAGAGTTTTAAGATATAAGACCTTATCTAAAATTACCTTTTTTGATGACATGTTATATCTTAACTTAGGAAATTTGATTTACGATGTAAGTTAATCGACGCAAAATGATTAAACCTTTCTTTTTTGCAAAGGTTTTTAATTAGCATATTTAATAAAATATGCATAAAAAATGGAATTTATGGACAATTTTTTTTTATCATTGTCTGTTGATTCTGTTTTGTACCACTAATTCCAATCATTAGGACATACTAAAATTTAAGAGCAAAGTTATTTGACATACATGTAAGTATTTAAATATATTAAGCATATAAGCGATTGGCAACTAATGCATGTATCTCAAATATAAATTGCATAATTATAGGGTAAAGACCTTAGTCTTCTTTATGACATGTGGTTTAAAATAGTTTCGAAACATAGACTCCTCATACACAGACCAAATTAACAATAAGTTGGAGATAAATACAGTTAACATTAAGCATAAAAAAGGACCGAAAGAAAAGTCATCACACAGGTTTTATATCCATGCAACCACTTTCAAGAATTATACTGGCCAAACATAAAGTTAGCTATCTTGTGTTTAGAGTACCAATTAATGAATAAGAACGTATATAAGTAATAAATACATTTTGATAAAAACAAACTTTGGAAGGTCTTCAACATACAAAACAACAGCACTGAAAGTAAAATCAAACTTCATGGTTCATATAGGCATACAAATACATACATACATGTTAAGTATTATACAAGTCCTTTTTGGTTAATAAAAAAGAAAGAAAAACAAAACAAAACAAAGAGATATACAAGTTCATCATCACTGCACCTTATATACCTAACTTGAAAGTTTGCAATCTCAGTTCATTGCGAGAGAGAGAGAGAGAGAGAGAGAAAGAGAGAGAGAAAATTTTCAAATTTGAAATGACGAAGGGCAATGATTTAGAACAAAGAAGAAAGTTGTAATCATTAATACATGACGCATGAAATATTTCACTGTATAAACTGATTGTCAAATATAGACGTTAAGACCACAAAATAAAGAGTCCTAACGAGGAAATGGTTTACATTGCTGAATCAGTTTATTTTTGTACAACCAATCAAACAGATCAAATTTCGTGACGTAACAATACAAATTTGGGTATAAAATGGATCGAATTATGAATGACACGGTACCAGACAAGCTCAGGAAACGGTCTATTTATACTTTTCTTATATTCAGAAGGTAAGAAAATGGAAACAAAGAAAATCGTTATTAAGAACTTACAAATAATAAGTAAATAATTTCGCTGTATTAAATGATTAGCATTGTTAACATTTGCAGAGAAAGGACTAAAATTCATAGGCCTTTACTGACAATACAAATCACATGAATTAAAAATATATATAAAACAACCATAATAAATTATCGATATCAATTATGTATTTTTGGATATTTTCCATAAGCTCTAAATATTTCAAAACTAGGAATATTTTTGAGAAAAAATTATATGAAAATAATTGGCAACTTTTTTTATTAAGGAAATGTTAATGTTAAGAAACGTTAAATTCATACCGGTATTACACTGTGCAATCATATTATAAATTCATATTCTGAATCGTGAACATATATCAATAACTCATGTACCGGTACTTTAAATATGCTACTTCTATCCACCTATATGATTCACAGTCAGGTTTTTGTAAAGTAATATTCTTTGCTTCAAAACCACAAAATGCATATTGTATTTCATGTACTTTTGATTCAACTGTTAATTTGTATTTCAAAGATAAGAATACGCATTGTAAATTTCTAATGTTGGCGGATGAAACACATTGAAAAAAAAATCGAAAATATTCAGAACAAAAGACATTTTAACATTACAGGTCAGAATGATCCGTTTCTGTGTAGCCACTCTCTTGGTTGCTTACGTCGCAGCCGGAAGTTACAAGCCTTACCATCACGGCCCTGGTCACCACGGCCCAGTTCACCATGGATCAGTACACTACAATCCCTTCGCTCGAAGACCCGGACTCCATCAAAGTACATTGTTCAACGCTTTGAATAATGGCAGAACCCGTCTTTCTGGATCCGGTGGACACATAACAAAATCTCTCTCTCACCACGGTAAATCAATCCACGTGAATGATGGTCGCCACACGGCCACCGCCACTCACCACCACGACGGTACTGTTAGTGCCAATGTTCTTCCCAACCACGTTTTGGGTCAAGGTGTTCACCCATCATCTGTTCGCACACTTGGACAAGTTGGTCCCGTGGGTTCAGTTGGATCTTTAGGTCCAGTTGGTGCACTTGGACCTGTTGTCGGCGGACCCCTTGGACCTGCTGGTTCATTGGTTCACGGAGCTGGACCATACGGAGTTGGACCTAACCTTTCTGGAGGAATAAAAAGAGTAAGTTTTTTAAAAGAATAATTTCATATGCATTCTTAAGATATTTATTCTGTTTGAATACCAAGGTTTTAAAGATAACATGATTATCTGTATTTTAAGCTGTTCATTCTGTTTTAATACACACATATACTAGCGGCTGCGCATGCACTTACATGCAGCATGTAAATATTTTAATCCGATATTATGAAACCTTTGAGAAAGCAATGAAAATATGGTTTTATGTTTTAAAAGTAACACAAAAACAGTGACTTGATACACAACGTTCATAATTTTTATTTTCGTTCTGTTGCAGAAGGGTAGATACTGAATAATGGCTGTTCCGTCGTTAGAATTTGGGAGTGGAGTGAGATATATGTCTGGTATACATGTGTATGTCAATAAAAATTCAAAAATATTCACATCAGTTATTTCAATTATCTTAATTGTCCTTTGTTTTGATATTTTCATTTAAGCAATCAAATGTAAAATTAGCGCGCAGTTTGTAGAACTGATTGCAAAGACATTAAAATGGCCTCAATTACTTTAACAATAAAGCAGCTAAAGCTGTCTAAGCATATAATTACAATAGTTATCAAACAAAATGCAAAAATTAATCTAATGTATACTAGGGTGATATATTATTTGTTATGACATCAAATTTATGTCTGACAACACTTTAAATAGGTCATATTTAATAACGTTCACACGTTGCATCAAATTTGTGAATAATCACGCATAAATAAAAATGAAAAAGAGAAAATCTCACGTTTCTGTGATAACATTAAAATCTAATTTTTTTTATGTTTAATGTTAGGGCAAAATACTAGTATGCATAAAAATATGCTAGATTTTTGTGACTTTCTAATGCTGAAGTAAATGAAACTAAATACAAAAGTACTCGAAAAAGTATGAAAGTCTAATAATGATTTTTTTTAAGGTTTGTTTTTTATTCTACACTGTTTATTTCTATGATTTTATGAACACATGTAAAAGTCAATCTTTTATCCAGTAAAAAATACATGTATAATATTTATATGAATAATTAATATTCTTTCTCTCTTCTTCTGTATAGAATTATCATTCTTCAAAAACGTGGCGGTTTTAATACATTTTAGTACATGTACTTCCTGAATCTGAGTAGATGAGCTGAACATCATATTACTTTTATCTTAAAAAAAGGAAAATTAATGAATTGTTTATGAACTACATACGTCCTGTGTTAAAGAAATACAAATTCAGAAATAAGGTTAATGAGTTGTTTAAGCTGTCTAAATTTATTCCGTTCTTGTATTCCTGTACCAAAATAAAGTTTTGTTGAAGTTTATCGCCTAATTTACCATCAATTTCTTTTTAAAGGTGAATGCAATATGTATATAATGATTTACCATTTTTTCCTTAACTGTCAAGATAAAATCGACACATCCTTATATTTAAAAATGACCACTCATGTTTTATGCATTTATTGCATATAAATCAACAGCGACTGCTAATGTTCGGGGTGATCACAAAAAATGTACTAATATTATCATAAATCAAATAAGTGATATGGATACTAATATTAGAAAATTATCAGATTTTGAATTGTAGTGAGGTACTAGTAAGGACCAAGAAAACTTGAAGAAAAATATGACAAGAATGGTTTTCTGTTTTAAAATGATCCTAAAATACGAGCCATTATTCCTTGGTGTTTGAGGACACCGGTATAATGAGAAATAAGAACTAAGAATTTTAAAATTGCAAGAATTGAGCTATATTATATAAATATCGCATGTAGTTGAGGGTAACCGAGGAACAGACGAAAATGGCAATGATTTTCGCCGGATAAAATTTTTCAATGTTACCTTCAACACATGTGAATGGAATATTTATTATATATATTGAATGTTTTATGCAAAATTAATACATACATGTATAACAGCTAGAGAACCATATGCGCATAAATTCTGCGCAGTCAAATTTTTTTTTGAATATCGCCTGACGTCAAGCATTGTTAAAACGTCCTATCATAATCAGAGGGTTAACGTGTTTTTGACAAATGTTTCTCGACGAACCAGATTGACTTAGTAATTTAAGTGAATTAATAATAATAAAATAACAATAAAATTCCTCAAAAATTAATTAAGATAGTCTACAATTTTATAAAGCAATAAATGATATGTAAAACAAAAACTATTTCCATAAAAAATCATTCTGATTTTGGGAAATATTTAAAATTTTGAAAACAAGCTAATTATATTTCACATAATTTGTCTCCCTGGCTTCAAGAGAAAAAGAAGAGGGTGAAAGAATTGGAAATAAACATGCAGATGTAGAAAGAAAGAAAGCCAGCCTTTCGGCTTTTGGCCTTAAAGTAAATAGGGGTACGTCTATTTTAGATTAAAAAAAATACCTAAAGTTATCATATGAAATCTATGTATGCAACAGGGATGGGGTAATTGAAATTAGTCATTGTTATTAACTGTATTGAATACATTTTTTCACACTAATTGAAAGTTTTTATAATTGAGTTTGCTTTCAATTATAAGTAATTGAATGTATTTAAATACATTCTAAAAATGTAATGTATTTCCAATTACATCTCAATAACTCTTTTCCAAATTAAAAGAATAAAAATATGTCTAGTACGGATGCATACAGCTGTTCGGTATGGGCTTGTGTCTGTGCGATAATCAAATGCCTCATAATGTTTATACAGCATGACCACATTGCCAGGGCAATAAAAAGGGGTCTAAATTTGTTCATGTGCGAAGCCCCCTCTATCAGAGAACAAAAATATACATGTATTTGTTCTTCAAGATTTTGGAAAATAAAACTATCGCAATTGAAATGTATTTAATTACATTTTTCAAAGTAATTTAGAATAATCCATTACATTTGTAAACCTCGATGTATTTGTAATTACAAGTAATTGACAAAATTATCAATGTATTTGAAAAATAATTGAACCCAACGCTGGACTATGCAACATATAAATTTCTGATCATGGTGTTTGTCTTTTGACCTCAAAATCAATAGAATTCTATTTAGGTCACCTGAGTCATGTATTTATTACAGTTATAGTAACACGTGTGTCGATCGAACACGTGTTTGTTTATTGATATTTATACCGGAAACCAATTTTCATTGGTTAGCTATTTTAGAAATAGAACCTGTTAAACAGGTTTATCTATATGACACGCCTTCTCACCAGTTTAACAAGTAAACCCCATTCGAAGGTTCTCTCTTCGTGCAGTTTAGACGTGCTTAACCTAATGGCGGAAAATAGCGAAGAAGAATTACTTCAAGAGCCCAGTTTTACTCCAGCAGAAACTGCAAAAAATACAAGTACTAGTAGTACATTTGCTTTGACAGACGCTGTGCAGTTAATTTCGTCTACTATCAGCACTCAGTTTCAACAGCTCGCAGAGAAACTTCAACAAGAAAATAACAATTCTGCGCAGTTATTAAAGAAAAAATTGAAAGAGAACATTGCTGGAAAGCTAAAGTTTGAAGGTAACAAAGTACAATACACATTTAATGAAGAGTGCTTGGAAGAACTTGAAAAACTTAAAGATTTATCCTCGGCTGACCAAGGAATTGTCAAACGTTTGAAAGAAAAAAATCAGTACAAGACAGAAGTACATAAGAATCGCAGATGGGTCGCCAGCAGGATGGAAAACTGTCCAGGAATACCAACTCAACGACGTTGCCGAAAATTCCGATGGCGAAAAACGGATCAGAAGTGCAGAAAACAGGGCCCTTAGGCAAAGCAAACAAGGAAAGAAATCAAGATTTCAACCTTATTCTAAACCAGCTCCAGCGGCCGCGGCTGGTTCTTCTGCTCAGCTTGCTTCTTTTGGTTTTCAACAACAGAATAATCCAATGCAATCAACAAACCCTTTTCTCCAGCCCTTTCGTTCGGCTAGCAGACGCACTCCGCAGCCCAGTGACGTCTGCTATAGATGCTTTCAGACTGGACACTGGAAATCCAGATGCCCATCTCAGTTCAGTACAGCAGTGCCTTCCACCTCCAAGTGAAGTGAATGATAAGTATTTAGTCAGTTTTGATATGTTTGACCAATACAATGATAATGAAATTTTATTGCAAGAGCACATTCATTTCTTTGATGATCTTAATTCTGGCGAGTCAAAAATTTATAAAGGAATCAAGAAAAGTTTGTCAAATCATTTAGATTTCTGGAAAAGAATAGGCACTTATGATCACATTTTAAGAATAATTGAGCATGGTTATCACATTTCTTTTGAACAGAATCCACCCAGGATGTATCTGAAGAATAATAAGTCTGCTGAGGCTAATTCTTTGTTTGTTTCAGACACCATTGATGAATTGCTGAAATCAGGTTGTGTCTTACAGGTGCCGTTCAAGCCTTTTGTAGTCAGCCCCTTGAGTGTAGCGGAGAACCGAGAAAAGAAGCGTCTTATTCTAGATTTAAGTATTTTGAACAAGTATGTAAAGAAAGAAAAGATCAAATTTGAGGATTACAAAACAGCTCTACAATATTTTGAGAAAAATTGTTTTTGCATAAAGTTTGATCTAAAGTCGGGTTACCATCACATCGATATTAGTAAAGAATGCCAAACATATTTAGATTTTCAGTGGAAGGATAAGTACTATTGTTTTACTGTCCTACCTTCTGGCCTTTCAAGCGCACCTTTCGTCTTTACAAAGTGCCTTAGATCTATGGTTCGATACTGGAGAGCATGTAATATTAGAATTGTATTATACTTAGATGATGGTTTAGCTATGGCTGAAACTTATGAAAAATGTGAGAGTATTTCAGATTTCATACAGAAGTCCTTGGAAGATGCAGGCCTGCTTATTAATTTTAGCAAATCTGTTTTCAGACCAGTGCAAGAAATCGAATGGCTGGGTATACAGTGGAATTCTGTAAAATTCAGTATTTCTATTCCAGAAAGAAGAATACAAGATGTAGAAGAGACGTTATCAAGATTTATTTCTTTGTTACCTCATGTTTCAGCAAGATTTCTGGCAAAAGCTGCGGGAAAAATTATGTCTTTGCATTCCGTTTTTGGAAATATTTGCAGACTGATGACTAGATTTTGTTATATGGAGATAGTGTTAAGAAAATCTTGGGATGCAAGAATCGATTTGAAATTTCAAGAAAATACATTGAGAGAATTGAATTTTTGGTTACAGAATATACGAGTCTATAATAGCAGAAAACTGACTAATACAAACCAAGAAAGTATAATTGTTTATTCAGATGCTAGTAATGTCGCAGCAGCGGCATGTACAGTAGGTGTAGACGAACATAAGTTTCACCAGATGTGGAATGAACATGAGGTTCATAAGAGTTCTACGTGGAGAGAAATGAAAGCTATTGAACAAGCTTTATTTTCATTTAAAGACATTTTGAAATACAATTCTGTTAAATGGTTCACAGACAATCAGAACTGT